CAAGCGCTGCATTGTTTACGTTGTATATAGGGCGTGCGATTAGATCTCACTGGGAGCTTCAATCCCCGAAGTTGCGCACCATTTTGGGAGAGGTCCTTTTATGCTTGTTTCTTCTGGGGCTACCTGTTTTAAGCCCTGGCCCCCCTAAATTCAAAACATGCTACACTCTCAACTTTGAATTTTGCATCCTAGAAGATATGCCCCAAGCTTGAAACCAAGGTCGACCATCACGCCATCGCAGATGAGCTCCCAACAGAATATCTCCATTCGAGATGTGGAGGACTAGGAGGCAGGAAGTTGGGTTCTCAAACCCCTCATAAATCCCTACATACTCCTTTACAGTAGTTATACACTACAGTAGTTTCCATTTTCTTTTCCATTATCCCTGCATGGTGGTCTTCGGAATGCAGACATGAGGGCACTGACGGTTTGCAGTAGAGGGTTTCGGGATTAGGGCTTCAATATTTTCAGGTAGCCTTTGGAGCACAGGGCGGCGACAGGATTGGTGGCATCCCGCTTCAGGATCATGTGATGCTACTTCGAGAAACTCCACAGGAGGGCCTAAGTCAGAGTTCCGTCAGATTGGTATGCTATTCGTAGCTTGTCGGTGGTGCACGAACATTTGGTAGTAAGGTGGGGCTAATCATACAGAAGGTTGTCAGGCCTCACGACTTAGACGTCTCAAGCTTACCGCTTCTAGCTTCTAAGAGGGCCTCTCTCAAAATACCAGATCCCAACAAGGGTCCTTAAAGAGCCTTAGGGGTAAACCTTTTTGCGCTGAAGCCTTTGAGTCCTACCCTCTGTGCTGGGGAATTTGCCACAGCTTTGCTGGTACCGATACAATTCGGTCAGAGGGCTTGACACGAGGGTCGCTCTACTAAGTGTAATACATTCCGCAGCATGCTATAAGAGCCTTCCTGTCAATTCCTGATCTATTCCAGATTCTTGTGCAAAACGACACGTACATCATTGCAGGTTTTATCATGTTAAGTTGTAGTCACATACAATAGCCTGTATGCAACCTCCAAAGATACAGTAGGCTCCGTTGTGTCATCCATTTTCTCATCTTTTTGTACAAGAACCTAACAAGAAGCACGAACATCTATATTGTTGATGGTATCACGGTATGTCAATTCGGGGCCAGCCTATCAGCGCCACCATGCCTCCTTCGGTCTACTAGCGTAGGGCTCAGCAAGTCTCATTGCAGTTCCATGTCACCCAGGCGCTGTCGACAAGTAACACCCGTTCCATAAAGCAAAAGTCGATTTGCAAAATCCATGCCAGTGCAGCTGGAAGGAGAGTGATGGACCTTGTTTCACCGACTGAAGGTTGCTGGCAGGCTGCTGTAGCTTCCATCCTAGGTGGGCAAACACTCAAGATCCAGCAGCTTGAACCAGGTTGTAACATATCATCCGCTTTTGGTTCCTTTGCAAATTACACAGGTGTTTGAAAACATGCCTACCTAGATTTCCATCACCATTGGTCTTTTCTCTGGCGGCGAATGTACACTACCCAGCGAAGACAGGTAGGCAGCTTTCGAGCTGCATCAGCACAAAAGATACCCGTACTCTGAAAAAAGTCCGCAGCCGGGGGGGGAGGAAGGGGGGGAGTGGGGTTTAGGGTTTAGGAGTGAGTTCTTGAGTCAGAAGATGCGTTGGCAAAGCAGTCAAGCTCGCATTCTTCGGAGAAGGAGCACGGACATCCTCATCATGAATGCTCCGGCGCTAACGTGGGGCTGAACAGTTCGATTAGTCCTGCTGTTACTCACGGGATTTGGGTCGTTTTGTGATATCTGACTCAGGGGCTGAGGACATTCTGCGCATTCCTTAGATCCTCCTCTCCCTGAAAGCAATCTGTTGGACATGGGCACCTGCTAACCCATAGATACGTGTTTTTCCACACATTCCTGTGGGGTCCTAGTTGTTTAGATGTGCCGTCGCCCGCCATGCCTGCGTGCTCTTCCGCGCGCAAACATTTTGGACGCGGCCTATGTCGCTTCAAAATCGCGCTTTCGCTCAGAGCATCCTCAAAAAATCGGCGTTCTATGTTGATTTTCGGTCCAAAAAATAGGTGACTTTGCCTTTACAGCAGTCTTGGTAGAGGGGTCCGGTACAGAACGGGTCGTCCTCAAAATTCCAGGTTTTGCTTACTCAACAATTACTCAAAAATTGCGCTCCCCTCGAGACAGTGGCGTTTTTTTGCTTTCGGATCGTCTTTAATTCTTCAAAAATCGCGCTCCCATGCGGAGCCTCCTCGAAATTTTGTCGATTTATCTTCATCAAATTCGATCAAAATGACGCTCCCGTTCGGAGCATTCGGGAAATTTGGATCATTTATGAACGATGATGTTGAGGAGGTCTATACCACTTCTATACCAAACGAGTCCCGGTGCACTTCGTTCGAGGTGGTTTTCTGGGCTCAAAAGGACGGTATCGAGCGGAGGGCGCCAGTATAGCTTTGGTAAACGATTCGTCGACTTCGTCGTTCAGAATTACTGGACTGCTCCGCTGAGGTTCGTCTTCCTCGTTCGACATTTGGAGAAAATCGTGCTCCCATGCGGAGCATCCTGAAGATTTTGAAGAAAATCGCACTCCCGTGCGGAGCATCCTCAAAATTTCGAAGAAAATCGCGCTGCCGTGCGGAGCATCCTCAAAATTTTGAAGAAAATCGTGCTGCCGTGCTGAGCATCCTGAAAATTGTGTGATGCCTGCGTGGTCAATGGTCCATCGCCGCTTACCGACGCCTCGAGCCGTGGACAAAACAGAAGCCACATCCTTGGTTCCAGTACACGCGTAGAAAGAAGGGACTCTCGAGAAGCAAGCTTTGTCTGCTTCTATTCGGGGCCTTTCACTGTCGGGAAATAAAATTGACCGTAGAAGTGAAGATGTTCTAGAAAGTCACACCCGCGGATGTGAGTTTTGGGTCGAGACGTTCAGGGTGTTGGCGCCCTGGGGAGTGAGAGCTTCAGACCCCAATCTCTCACCTCGCTCCGGGTGCGAGGATCCGGCAATGCTTCTCGAGGTTGCAACGCTTGCCTGCGTTGGCCTGTGATGCCACAAGATTGCCAGTGCCCTCAAACCGAGGCATCAAAATGAGAAGGGCTTCGAGCTCGCCACAGGCAAGGTAAGATTTTGAGGTTGGTTCGAATTTGTACAATACTGGTCCCTGAGTTTGGCATCGAATACGCGGGTCCTGCTTGTACTCCCTCATCTAGCGGACGGGTAATGTCGGCAAAGCTGCAAGTTAGCCATCGACCAAGCTGGTTGTTGAGAATAGCTTAGGTCCTAGGTCCTCTGAAAGAATGTTTCTATCGGATTCTATCGGTTTTGGGATCCAGATACAGGCGGTTGATGTCCAGAGGGCTTCCAGTAAATGATGATGGTATCAAATACGACCAATTCTTTTGGATATCCTACTGGTAGGCTATCAGGATTTCTTTTGTCTCCTCACCCTGAAGTTGCCTTGAAGCTCAGCCCTCCGCACTTATGTCATAAATCCAAAGAATAGAAACGGAATAAAGCTGTTCACAAGCTCAAGAAAGGCAACTGGCCCCTATGAACAGGTTTCAGCGCCCCAGAAGCGATGTTTTGGAGCAAATCTTATGCGCCCATTAATCTCATGGCGACCTCCCATGACCAGTGCAGATCGCGAGGGCAACTTCCTGCAGATTCCGGCGCACGTCACAAACGTGAAAGGTCCCGGCTCGCATCTGTTCAGGCGTGGTGCAGCGAACATTCATGGCAGGTTGGATGGCGGTTCTACGGGAGGAGTACAGAATGTGTAGCAAGCATTGTAGGTTGGGAGACCTTGCTCCTGCAAACTCTTCACATTATGCCGGAAACCGACCGCGCGTCCTATTCTCATGAAGGTGGTATAGGGCCCCAGAGGATGGGCCCAGTCCTCCTGACTCTGCGAGCTGCTAGCTTTCGACGGGCCCTTCTTGGCTCAGAGCCACAAGAAGCTCTTGCTCTGAAACCGTGCATGCGCATCACCAGCAACAGCAAACTCAGAGAGTTCGAATAGAAACACAATTAAATCGAGGCGTCCAAAATACATGATTCTTTGCATAGGTCCTTGTCGCAAGCCTCCGATCTGGTTCTGGGTATATTCATGAACCTTGGTCTAGCACGTGATAGTATAGGGCACTCGGAAATTCTGCAGTAGACAACCCCATATATAGCCCCTATATGAACTCAGCTTACGTTGCATGTAATTCTCCACACTCGGGCAATATAGCTAACCCCGAATCGCAAGTAGCAGCCCGTGAACTGCCTCTGCCCATGGCCATGTCCTGGCATCATGTTTTCTTCAGCTTTTTGGTCCTCAGGGCTTCCTGGACTCGACTCGGCTTATGCCTTTCATAGCAAGAGATACGCTTTAGGGTCAGAAAGTAAAACCTCAATGATTTCAGGGCTCAAGTCCAAATACCCCACAGACGGGTGAATGGGAGGGGTGATGAAGCTAGGCCATGTTTTTTGTGTGCGCTGGGCTTTTCCTGTTCTTCCTGCTCATGCTGATGAACTGAACGAAGGTGTTGGCCATTGACAATGGCATTGGGCTGACGCCGCCGCGAGGGTGGAGATCCTGGAATGCTTTTGACTGTTTGGAGAAGCTTGGCTGCAGAAGTCATCAGGTGAGGATGGGGCAGAGGAAGGGTTGCTTCCTGGGGGGCTAATTGGGGCTCCTGTGTTCTTGACTCCCCTCTGACTTTGCTTCGCCAACAGATTTGCTGGTAGTCGCTGTCGCATCTGGCCAGGTTTGATGTTTAATGTTGGCAGCATCAGGTCCGAAATTGCTATCTTCTGTTACCTCAGGCCGAAGCGCATCCTTACGCAGGAACACATGGAGGCTCAGATGAAGGCTGTTCTAGACAAGTCCCGCTTGGTGGACGGCAAGAACATGAGCCTTGCTGAGTAGGGGACTCAGCCCTCATGCACAACGAATTCTGCCTGTTGTGGATGCTACCCCAGATTCTGAGGTTGGGTTTTGATTGGATAAGCATGGACGACGGCTGGCAGCACTGCAACTGCAGCGTGCGCCAGGACTGTCAAAGTCTAAGAACGCTGGGCCTGCTTCGGGGCGATCTTGCTAGCCTGTGTCGTATAGTCTTGCAGGCGGCAACCCCGCGGCTGCCTGCCACTTGCGATGGCCAAACTTTTGTCATCCAAGGATGTAGGACCATTTCGGGTCATTAGTGCGGCGATTAAGTTCTTACGGCCATACGGCGGGGTCGCAAATTCTTTTTGAACATGTAGAATTCCAAGAATTCCCAGCAGCTTGATAGCCTGAAGCAGGCCGCGTCTTTACGCCTGAGCTCAATCCGATACTTCGTCCAACCAAGGGCTGGGGTTTGGAGGCGTTTGGGATCAAGAACCTTGCAGGGATCCGGGCTGGGAAGGACCTGGATCCAACGCTGCCAAAATGTGATGGCGACTTGTGCTTCGGCGGACACTGCTCCTGGCACGACTCCAGGTTCGAGCTTGACCTGGGAGTGTCTTAGCTTTGAGGCTTCAGGGATATGTAGCGGCTACGAGATCAAGCATGGATGCTTGTTGGGGGTCCACAAAAGCCAGGCTCCGTTATCTGAAGAGCCTTCGGTTGGATAAGCATCTAGAGGAGCTTCTGTGGCTTCGTGGTACTTTGCAGTCTTACTACCGCGGCCAGGGGAATGCCAATCGTGCGGAAAGATCGCTTTCCTGACATGCTACTTAGTTGCAGGCAACAACGGAACAGTCCAAATAACTATGGCTATGAACAGGTAGACAAGGATTTACATCACTAGGACAACTCGGATAATGGGTTGTTCTCAAAAGTATGAGCCCTTTTGGTCACAGATTAGATTACGGCGCTAATGTAGGGATGACAAAATGGGACCTTTTTTTTGGGGGAACTAGGATAACGCTTCGCAACTGTCGTACGTTCCCAAGGAAGAGTGAGGAGTGACAGGTACCGCCCAGTACAAGGATGGACCTGGGTTTTCTGCAGGGGTGTTGCTTTTTGAGATTCACTTCCCCTGCCCCCCTTGAACTTACTAGTGGTTAGTACGGAACCAGCGCATGAAATCCCTATAACCCCAGCACTGTGATACATTGCCTTATTCCGTGCTAACCCCCGGCAAGTGAAAAGTACCAGAGCTTGTCTGCCGAGGAAGGCATTGGTCGACTTCGGACACTCTCGTGGTCTGAAAGTCGGGACTTATCTCAACAACTGTATTTGTAGCCCGGCTTTGAAGGTCGCGCAGGGGTCGCTTCTGGGGGGTCTTGGGAGGGTTGAGTATGAGCTATGAAGACATACAAGCTGGGCCACATCTTATGCCGCTTATGCCTAAAGTTTCTTGAGGTTGGAGTTTCTAAAGGAAGTAGTCCGTCATTGCAAGTTGTCACGGCATAGTTTAGCCGAAGGATTGTGCAACTCAGCAAGCACCTCGGATGCCACGTCACAGTGTCTGCCAGCAAGGTAACGAGCATGGGCCAACGCATTATGAACAAGACGTCAGCTGGATGGTGAGTGAGATGAGCTTCGATGGAGTGTTTCCTGGCGGGATTAAGCGGCTTGGGGATGGGGTTATATAGGGGATTATATAGGGGAGTGCTATAGGGGATATTAAGGGGGATACTAGGAGTTTAGACAGTGACTCACATGTGGAAGGCTAATGCCGGCTGTCGGAACAAAGGAAGATTGATAGCTGCGGCAGCTCTCAAAATGTTTCACATTGGGCGGAGCTGTTCAACTCCACTGGAAAGGCTATCCGCCTCTCAGCTCACACAGCAGGTGGTAGTTCTTGACTGCACTGTGGGATTTGTTGCCATCTGAGCTCTCGCAAATTCTGGCACAACCTGTTTTCTAGTACAGAGTCTGGCCCTTCGAGTCAGAGCACGTGCGCCACACATCAAACCTGGCGAAAATACAAGCTTTTTACCCTGAAAGGTAATAATAGCCATAATATGTAATAATCTTCAATTGACTGACCGGAACCTCTCTCCGCTACGCCCTAGCATGGCAAGGCATTGAGAACTGTCACAATTCCTGGCCGGATTTCGACACTGGCTTCTGCCCGATGAACTTCTTCCGCACAGGTGCGAAGTGACAACACAGGTCCACAACATACTAACCGGCATGTCATCTACATACCTGCAATAAGCAGCAAGCTGACGGGAAGTATATCTGGAGTTTCTGTAACCAAGGCGAGGTACTCACCAGTTCTACTCTTCATCCTGCACCTGCGCACCCCTAAAGCTGGGTATCCCAGCAGCCTTCATCCAGGAACTGCGCAGAGGAGTGTCCCAACAAGTAGGGTCCCTGTAGTCATACCTTTAAAAAAATGAGTGCCTGTTGCTGGTGGCGGCATCATCCAGCTTGCAACTGTAGTTGAGGGACAAAATCCTGCTTTCCCTGAAGCGTGCTACAGCCCTAAGCATACCACAGCACCAGATTGCCCAGGGTAAGCACCTAGGGTAAGCATACCACAGCCCCAGGCATCCCATACCCTAGGGTGTATGTGTTAGGTGTCATGCAGGATCTTGTCCATCAACATTGTATCCCTGACCCTCCGTGACTTGAACAACGTCAGGTCCAAGAAGCTACAATAGATACTGCAAATGATGCATGACCCTTACCATTTGATATGATGCCTGAGCAATCATGGCTTTTTGTCCACGAAGGTCACACAAGATTTTGATTGTCCTAGCATCATCATATTTTCTTAGCTATGTGCGGTGCTAGTTGTGGTGGGTCAGCATTATTATCCCACAATCTCGACCATGTATCTCTAAATCCTATCCCCAAATCTTAACTTGCATTCATTGAATTCCAACCCAGCCAGATAGGAGGCGACATCAGCCCAAGTGTCAGCTCCATCGTGGAGGAGGCATATGCTGCGCAGCTGCAGGATGTAAAAGGGGCCCGCCCTCATGTGCAAACTCTTCATTTGGGAGTACATGGGACCTTGGTTCGGGAAACGCACAGACAGCTTTCGGATGAGAAACCTGCAGAAGCATGATTTATTTTGAGATTATGTAGGTCTTTCTGTAGCTTCATCTGATATGCTTCTAAACTCAACGTGCATGCTATCCTGCCTTAGCATAGAGGGGTATGGTACAGCGCACTTCTTAATTTCTTGGCTGCTTCCTACATTCTTGAACTAGCTGTGCCTGCGTGCAGCTGAGACCTGGGAGGAGGCATGCCCAACCCAAGGCTCAAGCTGTAGCAGCAACAGTGTAGATCCCGCTGCTCAGGAGCATCTACCATAGCCCCCGGTCGTTTACTGCCATTCGATTTCTCATTGCAGGTGCTGGAAATCGATGGCTCTAGTGCACAAAGTGTCCGCCCAGTAGTAAAGTCCATAGCCAGTAAGACTTAACAAGATTGGCAAATGGATTTGTGCAGGGCATGGGGCTAGTCCCGCGAACGCATAACATGTTTCGCACAGCTCCACATATTATGAAAAAGTTTGTTGAGAAGAGCAGCTGGGAGCAAAAGCATGTCACGAATATCTCAGCCTTAGTGTGGATCAAGGCTACTGTGAATGCTGCCGACCTCCCAGAACCGCGGTCGAGACCGGGTTGTTGGGCCTACCCGGACATGAGTGAGGCCAGCTTCGGATGCTGGGTAACCTAGAAATACCAGCTTGGATAGTTAGGGGTGTCTTTTGAGGGGGTGAATGGGGCCTCTATTGGGGGCTATGTGGGTTTCCCTTGAAAAGTGCTCATATTGTTACACTGCAATGAACCCAAGGGACCCAATTCCAAATTACTTCGGCCCATATACTGAACCTCGGAACCGCTAAGAACTAGGCACTTTGCAGCCTTTTTAGGCCCACATCATGCAATATAAACGTAATGATACTACAGAAGCAAGGGCTGTAAGGCTAGCAGCCAAGCACCTCAGTCAGGTCACCCTGCAGAAGCTTTTTTTATCTGCTGTTCTCCTGTCTGGAGGCAGGCACCTCCTCTACGCCCTGATAATGCGCCCAACTAGATTTGATCCTTGCGCACTCCGTCCTCACGTCTATGACTAAAACATCAACAACTTCCACCTACTCCATTCCTTGCAGAGGTAGGCAACTTTCCGGCTGGACCACACCAGCAAGATCAAGAGCGTACTCACTGGGGGCATCTCGGACTGCGAGTTTGAGCTCTCAAGCTGACTGTTGGGGTGTGCAATCCGCAGCTTGAAGGTTCCATGCAAGTTTCCCATCCTTCCCTTTTAGGTTTCCTCGAGCGGCGTATGTAGATGGTATATAGCGCAGAATGTCAGCTGATACTTTCTTCACGATCTTGCATTCTGAAAGCCATCACTGCCAAGATTGCCACACCGGTGTCAACGCCTCACGAAAGCTGCAAAATCTCTCGAACTCAGACGCCAGCCGGAGCAGCCTTAGATAGGTCTCGCCCAAACCATGGTAATAGTAATAGTAATAATAGTAATAATAATAGTAATAACAATAATAATAATAATAGTAATAATAGTAACAACAATAATAGTAATAATAGTAGTAATAACAATAATAGTAACTCCTCACATTTAGGCTCTGGTGCATCGTCTCTTCACCGCTGATACTGGGATTCGTGGGGTCCCCAGGAAGTGCTGTTGGTTTGGAGATGTTTGGAGTTAATATTACTATTATTACTATTATTATTACTATTATAATTGTTACTATTACTATTACTATTGTGTACAACCTTCAGTGGGGGACCATAATCTGTCTTTCTCGTGGTTAGTAGGGAACGCAGGAATAAATCCCGCTAGCAGGCACTATGACGGCAAGTACTTCAGAGCCCAGATGTAAGAATGATCATTCCCTCCTAATCCAGGACAATATAACATACTTTCCATGTGCTTCTCCATTTCTTCATTCCTTACTAACAACCAGTAAGTAAACAACAAGCGGGGTTGAGGCTAAGCTAAATCCTAAGCCCTAAACCGAGTTGACACCGATTTGACAAGGCGAGTTTGCTGTTGATGTACGGTGCCCAACGAGCCCTATAGGGGCTTAGCAAGTTCCAGCTGCATACTATGGAGATTACCGGGTTAGGGTTTGGGTTTCCTTCTGTTCACAGCAATACTATGATCCTTCCACATGATAGTGGCCCAAATAGTGCCTAGCGAAAAGTCAGTCAAGGCAACCCTCGTGGTTCTGCTGCGTTGCTGTTCACGAACCTGAATTAAGTTGCCAAAATGGGGATAACTATGGTACAGAGTATGGTTTCCTCATAATGGCAACATTATTTGAATCTCCTGAACAGCAACCAGTTTTGAAACTCCTTGTGCACATCTGCTTCTGCGGGCCAAAGGGAGGGAGCGCATGTGCAGGCTTCCCAACAAGAGCGGACCCCACACAAGGATCATCTGTTTTGATGTATGCGAGGAAGGCCCTTTTTTGAAAATACCAACTTGCCGGATAATTCTGGGTTGATCAAGTTGTTTCTTTGACATTGTAAACCAGTAGTACCCTCAGGCTGCCAGTTACCTAAATAGTAGGTTACTGGGCTATGTAACCATAGGGTATATAGTACCCAGTTCCCGTTGTTTGGGTAGCTGGAGCCCTAGAGGTAGTCATGAGCAAGAACTGCAGCCGTCGAGGTGGCGTGAGCTTCGAAGTCACAGTTTTGAGTGTAGCCCAAAGCGGTCTAGCAGCAAATTTGACGGACAATCCTTCAGGGCCTAGTTCGGAGGGATCCTACAAGGATCTCCAAAGGGTTTCTATGTTTCTATTTTAGGGAACATCACTTTTTTCAGCCCTGGGCTCCTCCGGTCAGATCGCAGCTGAGGACTTGGAGGACTCAGCCAAGCTGGAAGACTGAGATCATTTGGGATGTGTAGGGTTTTGGTTTCAGGGCATAGGGTTCCGGAATGGCTTCAATCAAGCAGTCCCTATTCAATCCTGAAGGCATGCAGCTTTCATCCTCCGTTTATCCCAGCTGTCCTGCCGTATTGCATAGAAACCCTCTATGGAATTGCCCCACAAGGGAAGCTGCAGGGATTGTAGCATGATAGTGGTAAGGGTCTCGGTAGATGAGCTCATGGGGATGCCTGGAATTTGGTGATGGGTTCAGAGGCGCCTAAGACCTACGCAGCATATTAGAGTTTGGATGCTACAGCCCATATTCCGAATTGCAAGTGCGGCAGGTTGCATGTGTATTTATGTATAGATGTATACATACGTAAATCCACATCTGATGTCAGGGCCCGAATATAGAACCTGCTACACCATGTTAAGATGATTCCTTTCACAGGATAGATGGTGTAGAAACTACAGTTTTCTTGTGGGGGTGTCCAAGCACTAGCTGGGCTTTCCCGGGATTTGAGAGGTGCTTTGAATTTCATCAGGTGATGATAGCCGCTGGCAATGAGCTACGGGATGAAGGTTGAAGTAGTTGGATAGATTTAAGGGCGTAGAGTTGAAGGGTTTGGGGGTCTAGGGGTTCTGAAGCGGACCGCTATGGAACGGCTTGAAGAATCCGAGCTTGTGATGTATGAGTGGCAAGTAGGGAATCAATGCAGCAGTCACCAGATTCTGCCATGCAGCCACTTACTATAGCTACAGACGTAGAACTTGTTAGCGTTTCGGAGTGGGGCGCCTGCCTAGTGTATGGTGACATGGGCTCCACCACCTCTTCCACCATTGGCTTGAGATCTGATGCACTTCGTCTTTGATACTTGAATGTTCTGCAAGGGCTATCACAGGGGGGAGACGGGGGTGTACATGTGGAGCAGCTTTCAGCACCTAGGATAGGGTCTGGGACATCATCACCAATACGGATGCTCTTGCTGTTTCAACTGCTTGGCACGGGCATCCTGGCACTTTGCTGCTCAGCTGTTGACGGGCGCGGTTTCAATCATGGTTTAGGTTGTGGGCCTTGGGGTCTGGGCCCTAGGCATACAGGGCAAGACCGGATTTAGAGATGTGGACCCCCTTCAATCATTGAGTGTCAATCTTTGGGCTTTCTTCTTTTGGAGGGGTGTTCTAGGATTCGTGACATAGCGGGCTGAGAACTCGTTCTGCGAAGCGACTGCTAAGGATCAAGGCATACCCAGCTACATCCTCTAAAATGCAAGTCGTGCTGGACCAATGCGATGGTTCTCACGTCACTATCGGCTGGCAATTTGAACAAGGTGCGGAACAGATGGAATTATACCACGCTGCCCAGGTTTCTGTTGGGGCTGTAGTCAGAAAACCTTCTTCGAGTTTCTGATATTATTGTTACCCATCTTATTTCTAGCATTCTATATGATATATTATATATACACTATTATAGACTTGCGTCGACAGTCTCGAAGCTTCTAGGCCAGGTCGTGCACTCCTCTCCCCCTACCCCTAACAATTTACAGTGGTACGGTGGATACTTAAAATCCTGCATGACCCTAAGTACCTTATACCTTGGGAATTATGGTACTATAGTATATTCAGGTCATGCAGGATTTTTAGTATCAACAGTAGTACACTGTGGGATCTTGAATTCCGGAGATGGGGGTGAATGATTAAGGGGAGGGGATTACTAGGAGTTCATACCTCCCGGATGTGATCAACTTCGTTAGCTAGCTGCATGTCAAGTTGGCAATTCTGGACGTGGCAACTCCATAAATAAGGGTACTTTAGTTGACCCAAATAGGACTCCATTATAGCACTGTGATAGTTATAGAGTCCCTTTTTTCGGATTATTGGGGTTGGGAGAATTCAAAGCCCCTTATTCATAGTTACGAAGCCCCTCGAGCACATCACTACCTTGATTAAGAGGGTTTCTGGCAGAAGTGGGATTTGTGCAAATCATCCTCTATTATGTTTCTTCTTGGGTTCCCATAACAATGCAGCACCTCATATAGAGAAGCATAATTTTGACAACCTTTCAAATTGGTCACAAGGTACAGTAGTAAGCTTGCTCTGCAGCTGTTATCTTGATCCAGATTCAAGCCTACACGAGCCGTGCGCGGCCCGAACACCACAAAACCATTGCCACGCTTGCTGCCAGCATCTTCATTGCCTGAAATGGTGAACCGCTGAGCATCGAGAGTTTGGATAGAGGCTGTCAGTACATTGCGTTGTACATCGTCAGGAAGGTTGGAGGTTGCGGTCCGTTGGGAGTGCCGACTTAGCTGCGCAAGTAAGGTCGCTACAGGGAATTGAGCCTATGAAAGTATTTCCACGGGTTTGAACGGGATGTTGTCGCAACAATTAGGGTTCAGTTCCCATCGGAGACCCAAATTCCAGCATGTAGCCAAAACACCTAGAACATAAACTTGATGCAGCCTTCCAGATGCAGCAGTCCAGTCCCAGCCAAAAATACTGACACTTGCCTTGCCGCCAGAGTCCTTGGCGTTACATTCTTAGAAACCTCAACCTAAAGCCCCTCGAAATTGGAATTTAAAAGTATTCCTAGGGTTGATGAATACCCGCGCGAAATATGGTGACGACATGTGAGAACCTGGTCATCCCCTCCATTAAACCCCCCAGCCCTCCTGATATTAAATACTCCCAATATGTTATACCATACCACAATGAGGAGTATTTAGTAGAAGGGAGGGGGGTAAAATTACGTGGAGGGGATTATTGTTTCTCATGGAAATGGTTCAGGATGACTATTAACCCCACGCTGTTTAGAGGCCGCCTGATTGCGCCGAAGATATCACCAATGAAAGAGGCGATGTGTTTGAGGTCAGCAGCTATGCTTCAGTTGGAAAAATGGCTTCGGCCTCATGGAACATTGCACATTTTACCTTATTGGTTTCATCAGGACCCTACACACCAATACTTTATCAAGGGGCTCCAGTGGCCCATCAAGAAAAGATGCTATCCAAGCAGGTCTCCTCGATCAGTTCGCGATAGTGATTTAGAGTTTTGACACCGCACCCAGTGCATGTGGAGGGATTGCGTACATGGATGTGGTTTCAGAAAGTGGCTGGTTTATGTAGGGGCGTGGCTATGGGAGAGCTTTGGGTTTCAGATTTAAACTGCAAAGGCTGAGGATTCTTGGCATAAGCCCTTTTTGAAAACCGAGATAGATGGTCTGACAGTCCCTGCTCCATATTCTGGGAAACTAGCAAATCTTAAGCGTATACTGTGTCCAAAAGGAGAAGTGGTCGTCTGCATGCTAAGCGCCCAAATCGGTCTTGTACCCCAATGGTGAGAAGTCTAGGCAGCGGGCTCGCTGTTGCTTGTTTGCCTAATACGCCGGAACGCAACTACCTCTACAGCCCCATTTGCTAAAGCCAACAATGAAAATTCGGGATTGCTAAGCGGGAGCAGACCGGACTAGGGCGCCGGATGTCCTTGAAAGGTAATGGGTTCCTGTGCTGGCAGACATTCTATTGACTTTTTGCAGGGATTTACGTGAGAATCAAGCAAGGAAACCATGCCGTGCCCTCCGCCAACGACTTATTCCAATGGGGCACGCTGTGGCTTGGCCTTGGGCAATTGCAGCACCTTGCCCTTGTTAAAGCTGCTTTTCTTCATTGGGTCTTCCGGAGGTTCTTTGTCCTACGAATCCAAAAACGCTGTTGGACCCACTCTAGTCCCGTATCTGGTACCCTCAGCAGTGAAGGTGAGCTACCCCCTGGAAGCCACTGGGATGCGGTGCAGAGCACGATTCAATGGTGGGACGGGCACAAGACCACCACAAAGCCACGTTGTTTGCAGCTTGCCTACAGCAGCACTTCTTCTGCGAAATGTTCAATATTTGTCGTGTGTGATCCATCACTGTGATCACTAGTGACATCATGGAAGGTATGCGAACCCGCAAGACTTCAACACATCGGCTGGATACTTTGTGCGCAAGGCTCCTACTGTTGGGCTGACGGCAGCTTGACAACAAGAACGTTGCAAGCAGGGCCCTCTAGGTCTCCACCTTCTGCAGTTTTGCTTGAGAGCACTTCGAGGTTCACAAGTTTGATCCAATTGTGCTATACCCAAGCGCTTCTTGCCCCAGCCAGCACTAGAAAAACTATTGTTGTCGGCAGTCGGCACCTACGAATAGACGACAATGGTTTAGGGAAACCCCTAGTGTATGAACATCCACTCACTGGCGGCGAAGAGCTCAGGATTGTCCGGCACAAGCGCAGCTTCCAACGACAGCAGCTGTGGAGAAATCAGCAAACACCTGTCTGTTCAAGAGTCTGGTGGCTTGGCTGAAGTGTCACAGACGTTCAGAGTCTAAAGACAGGGTTTTATTGGTGTTTGTGTGAGGCTGAGTTAACATGGCTATGTATTCACTTCTGCTCTTGGTCTGTTTGCGCGGCATCAATGCAAATCCCTTTTGTGGAGTTTAGGGTCCTCGAATCTTTGACGTTGGGGGCGGTTGGGTGTCTCAGCAGGGGAGCTCAATCCAAACAAGGTTCAATCATTTGCCTCTGGCCCAGGTCCAAAGCACTCGAAAGCTCGAAGGCATGCACCGGCAAGGACAAGTACCCTCAAACCTCCACTTCTCTCGGACTTCGCGCGGCATGACGGCTGAATTGGCTTCATCATTAGCAATCATCCGCATCATTTCCGCTACTGCCAAGGCTGCGGCTGCAACTGCTCCTGATGTTTTTGCTGCTGCTGCTGCTGCCGCCGCTGCCACAGCTGCTAGTGCTCCGGCTATGTAGTACCATGACGATTTCTACCATTATTACTCCGACTCGTACAGTACTCTACGTACGCTGATGGCGGTTGCGAAGACTTACCCGCCCCAAAGAGCTTAGGTGAGTTGAAATCTGATGCTGGTTGCCTGCGGACTGCTAACAGCAGTGGCATTCAGCTGTGGGCCAAGCCGTTGAATCAATCCGCAGTTGCAGTCCTTTTGATGCTTGGCGGCCCTTCTGTCTCTTGGTTTATTCTGCCACGGTTCTACACCAAGTTGCGGGCCAGTTTCGGGTGCTTTAAAATTCGTTTGTTGCTGCTCTTGGGTTGGTCTTGCAAGCCAGGATCAACCCTACAGATCAGAGCGAGACGCTGCAGTGGCCAATGCACGATGTTCCGAAGCGCTTCACAGGCAACTGGGCCGTATGCGTTTTACGAGATTTGCTGGATGGGCCAGAAGGGCTTGTAAATAAAAATATAGCTTGCGGATTGTCATACTGGATGCCGGCTTCAAGTGCACAAATAGGATGAAGATGTTACCGGATCCCTTTAACAATCCAACGCGGTCAAGAGCACACAAGTCAGGGGAGATTCCGATCTTGCGGACTGGAGATGGGGACCTTCCCCTAAAACTCAAGCCAAGCCTCCTGAACCTGTTGCTTCTGATCGATTTGTTTGCAAACAAACAGTTTCTGTTGTTCGCATGCTTGCCCAGAGCCCCCTTAAGTCCGGAATTCCCAACAGGTTCCGAGGCCGGTAGCAAACTCGGCCAAACCAAATTGAGAAAACAAATGCACGAGTATGTCTGCATGTAGCATGTGCATAGCTAGTGCTGCCGTTGCATCCTTTTGCTTTGGCAAGGTGGCCCTCTCAGGAGCTTTGAAGTATGGCTTGAATGATTCGTTTCCTTGGCTTTTGGGCTAATGAATTGTGGTTGGGGTTGAGCCAACTTGGATTCCACGGGGTGTTTCTCCGTGATGGAGTTATTTGATGCACTCAGCGAGGCCTCAGTGAGGATTTCTCATGGTAAGTCTTTTTGAAATAGCTTCAGAAACCGTACTGAGCGCCGGTGTAGGGTTTCATCTTGGACACGTTGGGGATTGCTGGCGCCAGTTCTACCAGCACCACCGCCGCCACTAACACTACCACCGCTGCCAAAGCCGCAGCACCGCCACCACCACCCTCACTGCCAGCAGCAGCAGCAACAGTAGTAGTGTTCTAGTCCTATAAATGTTGGTTCTGAGACAGACGGTCTGATGCTGCTTCAGCCAGCAGAGCAAAGGCGACGGGCAGAAGCAGATGAGCTTCGAGTGTAAACCGGACAGCTGTTGGGCACGAACCTCGACCTGCAGGTAAGATAGGCGATTCATTTGTGGATTCAAATGGCGACAACATGAGGTATTGTGAGGTTGTATTGTTAGAAGGATTATCGGCTTGCAGAAGGGCGTCCCTAACTTAGTGGAGTTAGGGTGCCCAGGCTTGGCTTTCCGAGTCTGAAGCAGGTCCCTGTATTGGTTCCCTCTCACATGGGACACAATAATTAGCCTAACTCCCAATTGAGATAGGGTTTTCCGCTAGTTGGTATTAGCATCTTGTGATTATGAGGGTGACTCTTCATTCAAGTTGTGGTCCACTCAAGTTATGGATTGGATGGAGCTTTTTTCTTTGAAGCTTCTAGCTTTTGGCGACGCAGGCTGGAGCTCCAGTTGAGGGTTCAGGGCACAGTGGCTTTCAGTTTGACAGAGCTACAGTAATAGTTTTGCAGAGGGTGGAACACTGCTACCTGAGTTGGCGGAAAGCGCAGCACATGATTGGAATGTACATACAATAAATCACTCACCCCAAAATGGCGGATCTGCTTCCCAACCGTATTGAGGATTGGCACTTGCTGTCCTGAGCTTGGCTGGAAAACCCCAGGCGCAAGCCTTCAAACCGAAAGCTCAACATGCAGCACGCTGTCTGTGCATGCTTAGTTGCCCCCAAACCCTCAATCAATAACCGTGAACCCTAAACCCGAAGCCCCGAAAATGAATGTTAAGTGAGCCCGTTACGCTGCATGGCCAGCTGGTTGTTTGACTGAGGTGACGTATGGCGCAAGTCAAGCTTCACTATTCGGTCGGTGCTTCGGCCTGTAGTCTGCAAAACCTGGGCATGTTTTGGGAAGCATCGAATACCTTATGGATTTTTGAGAACTAAACAGTCCTACTGAGGGGAGTGCAGGATGCGATGGCTTTTGGATTCGTGCTTGCACGGACTTTTGCCATACCACCCCTAGGAAAAAGACTTCGTGAGAGCGAATTTCAAGAACCTTAGGTGATTGAATGCATGATGGAAGTCTGTCCACACACTGTAGCACCAAGATACCATGCAGGGCCCTTGAAGCTCTCACCCCTAGCTCTCCACCTACGCCCTATGCGTTTCTTCTGTCCGCCCCAGAGACCTAAACTCTTGACCCCAAGTGCCAGACCCCAGACAGATGTTTTTGGAGGAGCTGCTGCCAATCGCTTTAGAGCCCTGGGCAAGTGCCTTCTACATCTTGCAGACACTTGGCTGATGGGTGAGCTCCAGCTTTGTACTTGTCATGACAGCGCTCAGTCCCAACAAGGAACCATGGGGCCATGACTGCCTTCTCGGTCCAACACCCCGGAGCCTGTTGAAATCTTCACCAGGCCTCCATCTGTCCCCTACGAATCGGAATACCCCACATGTCCAAGGCTAGGGTCTGATTTCTGTACCCCATATACTCAGCGTCGCTTTGGAAACTGTACAAAACATCCGAAGAACAACCTACAGTTGGCCATGCACACCGATTGCTCCAAGAATTCCCAGGACTGACAAGCCGGGCGTGGAGCGTGATGGGCCACTGCATGTTGACTTTCTCACCATTTAATCGTCAAGCTTCTGCATACAGTAACTATGCGTCTCTTTTTCGGGGTTCGCAGTAGAATGTGATATATCAGCTGTAGGAAATAGACGTCGATTCTGATAAAAATCTGGAGAGATACAGCAGAATTGGATATGTTTCTGAATATCGGCAGAAAGAGATTGTAAACATATTGGGCTTGGCATGAAGGTCGATGTTTTGGTCCTTATGGGCGCATTAATAAGCAGAGAGCTTCAAGACCAAGGAACATCCAGCCAACCACGTGCTTGCTTTTCAAGTTTGCCTGGATGAATCATTGCCCATGTTGGCACCATACCTTTGTACAGTTGCGGTCAGGTCTGCTTGAGCGCAAGCATATTCAAAGAGTGAGCTGTGCTGCCGAGGAAGTAGGAGATTTGCTGAGCAATTTGCAGGAGAGTTGTTCCTCTTGCTTGCATTGCTCATTGTGATAACTGCCGATGCAGGGAGTCGTTCGTTCCGCTGCCGCTGCACTGCACGTATTCATGCATCTCAGCTGCAGATCGGTTCGGTGCCGTGCACCTGGGCTCCGCGGCATGCTCTCTGAGCAGCAGGGAAACCCTAAACCCAAGATCACTGAAGTGTTTGAAGAATGTCATATTCCTTGTACACACGTGCAATCGGCCCAGACTCCCCCTACAGATTCCAAAATGTTCCAGAACCGACGCAGGATGAAGGTCTTTAGCAGCTGAGGCTGCTGCTGATTGATTGCGGCGTAGGCGTCAAAATTCAAGATCTGAGGAATTGACGGAATCCTTTTTCAGGGGGTTATGCTGCAACTCAATACTGGTACTTGTTGTAATCCAAGGAAGATTTTATCATTTAGATGGATCTCCATATATCATAAGTCTACAACCGATATATAATAGAATGATATGGCGCCTATCGTATCTATCATGATCATCAGAAAGAAGGATAATATTCTCTTCTTCAAAGAGCTATAAAATCTATCTATTTAGACTTGAGAGTACGATTCTCAAATTCAGATTTCTATCTAGGAAAGATCTATTTAGATTTCTGAGTTATAGGAGATCATTCTATTCTTGAATGATTTGATCGGAGAGGAATCAAATTTCAATTCAATAGAAAAATATAGTTTGATATGATTCTTTAGATATTGAATGAATCCTATAATTTGATCTTTAAAGAGAATCTCTTCGGGAATAAATTCTAGATTGTTGGGAATATTAGGGAGCATGATTTGGAGCAATAGATCATATAATATTTGTTCTAGAATAATTTCAAATTTCTATATGAAATATCGAGGTGAATTTCTCTAAATAATTATAATTGAAAGAAATGAAGCTTATATATATCTGATCTTATTCTGAAGGAAGTTATACTTGTCAACCCAACCCCCCCCCCCCCCCTCCTTTTTTGCCGCACAATAATTAATTTAAGAAAAATATATAAAATGGAAATTCTGGACCGGAGCCGCAGGAATAAAAAAAATTCTCGAGATTTCGAATCATTTCTTGCATTTTGGTTGTCTGCGGCCCTTGCCCCCGGGACCGGTCTTCGGCACGATTCATCTCTTTATATCAGCATATATGAATGGTCAGCGGAATTCGTAGATTTAGGACGGAGATCCCAAATCCTTCAGAATTTATAGGTTGGTCGTATCTATCCGCGGGCATTTCTACGTTCTTCCGATCCGCCGCGCATCAACTAGCCCAAAAAGATGAATGAAGCGGAAAGATCGGACCGGAGATTTTGGGCCGCACGAGCAAAAATCTCTTGAGATTTCGAATTATTTCTTTCTCTTTGATTGCCTATGCAGCGGTTCGGCGGCAGATATAGACCCGAGACGGAGATTAAAATCTTCTAGAATCTATAGATCAGATTTTTAAGCTCCAAAATAAAAATCAAAGATGCGGCAATCTTCAGGATTTCGACGAGCTTGATGCCGCAGAAGGCACCGTACCGCTATTTGCCCAAAAAATAGCAACAAATCCGCTGGCGGACGCTTGCCAAGAGGGCGTTGGGGGGAATACGATACGCAAATGCGTTAAAGGGCAAATGGGGAATCCGGTTTGGATCAGAGGAATTTATCCAAATTATTGGGATTATTGACGACCTGATCCCTCCTAGATAAATCCCTTCAAAATTACGAGAATCTGATAAATTTCAGAAGAATGATCTGCAATTTGATGATGCTCTCCCATTAGATAAATAATTCCTATACGATCCTTCATGAAATATCAAGGGAATAGAGTCTCCAGCTCTGTCAAATCAGGGTAGCACAACCACATCATAGTTCGAATTTTGAATTGAAATTAGAATTTCAAATATCCGGCGAGGATTACGCATATCATCACGCGTAGAACGTACGATAGAAACAGACCGCATCAGATTGCAATCAATCCGCCCCCATGCATACCTAGAAACGGACATCTGCTTCTTGGAAGCTTAATTGGGGAGATATGATAATGTCTCCCAAATATATAATTCCCTAAATCATTGCCAGACTTATAATCTCGTATTAGAAAAAAATCTCTATCCTCTCTATTATTTATCTATATTTAAATTAATAATTTGAATATGAATATTTATAGAAATATTATATCATATCTCCTCTTAGAGATATATCAATTAAAAATCTAAATAAATTATAAAAATTCTCTCTTATATAATAATCTCAGAAATTCGATCGGCGAATATTCATAGAATATATATTTCAATAGTATTTAATATAGATAATTATCAACCTTCCTCCTTCCCAGAGAACGTGAATATTATGAAAATTATAGTGACTCCTCGAAATAAAAAAGAAAACCCAAATCTAAATTAATATTTTTATTAAAGAATAGTATTCATTCTTATTCCTTATAAAAAATATCATAAAATATTTTGGCGTTTAGAATTCGTAGAATTCGTAAATCGTTTCAAGAGCTCTATTCGTCTATTCTCTATCTATTGCTTCCAAAGCACATTTAGATTGAAAGGCAGGGGCGGCCTCAACGGGCCGTAGGAAAATATAGAACCTAAGATTTCGGCGAAAATAATTCCCGCCAACTCTTTTGAGCCGATCATATTTAGAATCAAATAAATAAACTAATATAGATTATTTTTTATATCAGATATAATAATAATAATTCCCGCCAACTCTTTTGCGCCGATCATATTTAGAATCAGATAAATAAACTAATATGGATAATTTTTTATATCAAAATGATATGTTATTCCGATCCCGCCCTACAAGATATCGCCTCACTATTTAGCTTTTTTGAAAAATCTATCAATTTGATTCTACTTATATATTTTCTCAATCTCTTTATGGAGGGATAACTCAAATTATCAATTCTAATAATCGATCATTCTTGCATGTTTTTGGATTCGCCCGTCTGTCGAGAATATTGTATTAATTAATCGATTTCTCAATCGACCGTCTTGCGTTATTATAAGCAATGGGCCAGATCTAATTTTCTTTGAACCCCTATATTATCTTTCATGCTCATAATTTCCATTTAAATTCTCTTGATATTTCCCTTTTATATTTAGTTAGATCATTTACGACCCTATCCCTCCGATCCCTTAGATTTTTCAGCTCTCCAAGCTAGTGATGAGGCGTTTTTGGTGGCACGAGTGAGTGAGCTTGGTTTGCCTCCCTGAATTATAGAAACTATCAAGATAAGATACATCATATTTGGGTTTCTGCGGTCTTCCAAAGAAGAAATGTTGAAGCTAGTGACGGTTTGCTCTGTGGGGATGTTAGGATTGTCAGGGAAGTAGAGGTACCCGGCGTCAGAATTTGTATAATGGTATATTCAATTCCTGAAATACCCACACCCGCACGTAACCCAAAATCCCTAAGCCCTAAACCCTCAAACCCGACTGCTTTACCCGGAAAGTAAAGACTTCAAAAGGCTTATCGAACACGAGCGTCTAAAGGGTAGCGTGCACAAAGCTGAAAAAGGAAGTCTTACTAGACATTAATCCCCTTCCCTAATATTGAAAACCCCCACCCCCTAACATTAAATATTACCAATATAATGTGGGGGGTGGATTTTAACATTAGGGGCGGCGATTACTAGATATGAGCCTGGCTTTCTCGGGAAGCAAGGCTTGCCGAGCCTGTAAATTATGTTCGCCCCAAGAGTTCTTTGTCAGCCGGGGGTCGCTGAAGTCGCTAATATGCAGGAAAAGATGATGCTACCACTGATTTAGGGCTGTAATTACATTGCACCCATATTTTTCACTAAATCTTAAATCCTAAACCGTAATCCAAGCACCTCACTCGCAGGAAACGAATTAAAACACCAAGTCGTTTGTCTTGGCGTCTGGGATCCGGACATCCGCTCCTAAGCTCCGGCTATGGCAGCCTTTGCTTTCAGAAGCTTAGGGCCTAGGTTTGCAAGGAATTTCTCTGTGGATATTGCGCCGCTCTTCGTTTGTTTCAGGTGGTTTTTCGGCAACAAAGTGGATTTCCCGCCAGCACTAGGGACATATGCTATGGGTTGCCCCTCGACGATTTCAAACAACTTGACACCCTTCTTGGCGCATCTCAGTCATCATAAGGATCGCTACCTCATGATTCGGAGTGTTTCAAGAGGTTGTTCGTTCGCCTGGGCGTTGTATCTTTCGACAAAGTTGGCACTTGTTAAGGACCGAAGGCTCAAGAGATTCATGTACAGCTAACAAACCATGACGCCCCACGGCGCGCTTCTTTCAGAAAAAGTCCGTCATAAATCTTATCCCCAGTACTGACTCACCGCATCTTGGACATCTTGGATTTCCCTTTCCCCATGCCCTAGGATCTCGTATGCCTGTCATTCCTGCTGTTGCGGCTCGTCCTGCTGCTACTATCAATCCCTTTCTCCTAATATTCCCTCTAATCACTCTAATCATAATAACCGCCGCCCAGGTGGTGTCATAATTTCAGTGGAATCTTTGTTGTACAAAATGACAGCCCGGCTAGTTTCTGTTGCAATTTCATTTTGAAAAAGCCAAACATGTTCTCTTCAGTTCACCAATGAAGAAGTGAAGAAAAGCCGAATCAGAATTTTGTAAATTCCCTTATGAGAACCTAAAAGAGGCAACTTAGGAGACAAAGAATATCCTTCATTGGCACTAGATATCCGGTAGACTCTGTCATATCATTTCCTTTATAAAACACAATGAAACCAAGGAAGCTCCGAGAAATGAAGGACAACCGTGCCTGAAATTGGATTTCTTGTAATGTAGAACAATTCATTGATAGGATCCATATAAGATGAGGGAATAGAGGAAACAAGGGAGACCCCTAATTAGATTTCGTTTGAATTCGAATTGTTTTACAACAAGGTATGAGCGTAGTGACCCCCAATTTGCCGCAGAACCCTCACCCCAAAGAGAAAAGTTGGTCCCCTTTTCAAACAGGCTTGGCCCTAAAGAATCTTTCAGGATTTGGGGTTCTCCGGTAAGGAGTTTTGGGGAGAAAGGAGAAGTACTGCTGCCACGAGTGCTACGACTGCTTCAAGATTTGCTACCACCGCCATCACCATCACCATCATTATCACCATCACCATCACCATCACCATCACCACCATCACTACCACCATCACCACCATCACCACCATCACCACCAACACCACCATCACCACCATCACTGCCGCGGCCGCCGCCACCACAACCAACTACTGCCACGACGGAGGACGACGACGTTGACGACGTCGACGACGACTACTACTACTGCTGTGGTACAGAGGCTCGTTGGATACTTCTTGCTACTATCGCTTCACTATTACTGCCACCAAGCGACAGTCGTTATGCGAACTCATCGGCCCGCATCTGTAGGTTTGTGGTGTTGGGGAAGCGAGGCGTCCAGGGCTTTCCACATTTCGGGATGGGTAGGGGCTTTGGGCTTGGGGCTTTACATGAGCTTGGGGCTTCAGGTGCCAAGCTTCTCATTTGAAAGGCTTTGGGGCATCCCTCCCTCGATTCAAGATATCGGTGCGCTCGAAATCCTTGCATCTCTTTTCACCCTCAACTACCTCTTTCCTGACCTTTCTTCAAGGGAAAAGCTGCGACCAACTGCTAGACTTGTGGAACGCTTCATGCGCGGGCTGCACTTGAACCCCTTAATGTCAAATGCAGGGAGATGAAGTAGATGGCTAGCGGCTAGGACATTTTTTAAAAAAAAGACATGATCTTGCAGATCGTGAACTTCAGAGACCTAATTGATCAGTCTTTTGATTGCAATTTGATAGCTTCGCGATGACCTCACAAACCCTTACGCTATATCCATGTCAATATTCAATCTTCCATGAGTAGAGGCCCCCAATACAGACCCCAATCTACTTAAGTCCTTATTGTAGGAACTTATTTTCCATGCGGCCGCCTCAGCCAATTTTGATCACAGGCGGTGGCGGTGGTTTGCGAAGCTCCTTCTGAAGATACCTGGAGCTTTAGGTGGAGCACGCCGCGCTCTAAGCCCCCAGTAAAGCCCTGGTTTTCAGCTGCCTTAGGCCCTACCCTACAAAGCATCCCATAAAACAAACATGAGTTGATCCCCTCCCAACTAAGGACCCTGTCCCACAAGCAAATGCCGCATGCCTTAACAAAAACTGTACTGAAGCCTCTCCATCTTCACAGCAGGAACTACATGGTGAAATCTCAGCTCTTTGCACCCTCAACCCTGAACTACTGTAACTGTAACACCCTAAGCAGCAAGCGGATTTGAATGACCCCAGCCTCTAAAATTGAACCCTATGTGAGCAAGGCTGTGATAGTTACAGGGCCGCTATTATCGGGGTTGCGGTGACTAAAACCCTGTAATGAGCAGAACGCTGAAACCTGGAATTCTGGCAGAAGAGGAATGATTCCAGCACCCATCCGACATGAGAAATACCCTCGGGTGCACAATAGGATCTTGATTGTAGAATTGCAGAGACAAGGAGCCATGGACTGAATCCATTTCCTACTTCGAACATCCCCACCCTTGCTATTTTGTGGCTTGCTGGCATTATCAACCACTTCCAGCAATGATATGGAGCATGCATCAACCCTGTAATTCTAGAGAGTTGTGCCAGCCTGCAGACCTCTAGACCCTAAAACCTAAGCCCTAAACCCTATCCAAGAATACCCCGACTGCAGCGAGGGGTTCCAGCACTTCAGTCAACCTCTAGAATATTTGAGCCAGAATCCAAACTCCCAGTATTCCCCTTAATAACCCCTATAGTTGTCCCCTATATATATATATATCCCCTATATAAATATAATGCCCTCTCTCATCCCCCCTTTAGGGAGTTGAGACTATTGCTCATTTTGGCGGGGTCGGGCGTGGCAAGGAAACTCTGGGCTTGAGCAGTTGCGAATACAACATAAGATAAAACCCTACATGGTAGCTTCCATTTCCGATCCTTCTTTTCCATTATCACTATATAACCCCTATATAATACCCCACACCCTAAACCCTAAACCCTAACTTTTCTGGGTCGGGCAATGCAAGCTGTGGGGGCACTGCGAGAGTACTCTGCGGCTAGGCACTGCAGGTTGGGGGATACTCTGCATAACCCCTATATACAACCCCAATGTACTATAGCAATTTCCATCTTATTTTCCATTATCCCAATATACTATAGTAGCTTCCATTTTCTTTATAACGGCTTTACAGGGGTTATATAGGGTTTTATATAGGGGTTATATAGGGCTTTATCGGGGTTACATAGGGATGATGGAAAAGAACATGGAAACTACATTATTATAGGGTTTTATTGGGGGAGGGTTGGCGGCTTAGAGATTTCCCTCAATTGAGTGTAATCGACACAAAAATGGAAACCACTATAGCGGGGAACCAACTGGGAAAGGACTTGGAAGCAACATGGAAGCTAGCGTTACATAGGATATGTACATGTATACATATATATTGTTTTGTAGATGCGGATTTACCTAGATTCTTTCTAGTGGAAAAGAAAATGGAAGCTACTCTAATGGATAATACAATGGACAATACCATGTAAACTGACATTCAGGCTTCGGTTGTGTAGGGATTATACGGGGATTTCCCCAATTCCATGATAATACAGGTCCCTATAGTGGGGTTCCGATTATAGTACAGGCCCTATGTAGATGTGTATATATATATATGCACAAATATGATCGTATATGTATATGTGTGTGTATGTATGTATGTATGTATGTATGTATCTCAGTACTGTAGGTGCGGTTGGGCACTGCAGGGGTGCTCTGCGATTGGGCATGACAGGGATGCTCTGTGGTTCATCATGGGGGGATGCGGTTGGACACTGTGGCATGGCAGGGGTACTCTCCGGTTGGGCACTGTTGAGGTGGAAAAAACACTCAGAACCCTACAACAGCATGAAGAATCTCCCTTCAAATTCTCCGTTTATAAGCCCTACACCGTCTCCAGGAATAAGCGCATACCCTACCACTATTGAGCTCGACCCGTACTGAATGGACGAGGACCAAAAAGCAGAACGCTCTGACTCCCCAACCCTACACCAAAGCCCTCAACCCCTAAAGCCCTAGGCTCAACTCCTAAACCCTGAAACTCCGAAACCGCTAACATTCCCCAAACCCCTAAAACCTCAACCCCTAAACTCTGATAACTGATAACCCTAAACCCGAAATGCTTCACCACGAGGCACCTCCTCATGCCGAGGTATGGGTTCAGCGGCACCTTGCTGTGAGCATCCAACAGGAAGCTTTGCAGCAGCTCCTGGGTTTCGCTTAGGAAATATTGGGTAAGATCGAGAGAATGGAAAAGAACATGGAAACTTCTATATTATATAGGGTTATATAGGGTTTAGGGTGTTCAGGGTTTAGGATTTAGGTTTAGGGCCTTGGGTTCAGGATTTAGCTCTAGATTCGTTTTTTGCGAAGGGTCGAGCTTGAGGAGATGAGGATGAAGGACTATTGGAATTAGGGGTCGATGGGGGAAAGGATGAAAGCTGTAGTTAGAGTCCAGGCTTCAGGCCCAAGCTGTTTAGAAGATCAGGATGACTTGGTGACACACACAGTCATGAGGAAAACTGAGATTAAAATGTGGGCTCGTACCTACTTACCTCTTCTCAAAAATCCTACAGCTAGGTCACTGTAGCCGTCGCTCGCATAGAACCATGGGAGACGCAATCATTGAAAATGTGCCGCACGACAACACATACATGTGTGCAAAAAAAGACTTCAGTTGAGAGCTATCGTCAAAGCATGCCAGCATTGAAGCCCTTCATCATCAATGGCTGCTCTTCGAAGCGTCTTGTAAGATAGGTGCTCTTAACTCTCAAGTCTTGGATGCTGCTGGCCTTGCAGTTGCAGGTTTCGATTCTGTGGTAAGGCGCAGATGACGGGATTGGGATTTGGGTGTGGGTCATTTGTTCTTTTTGGCTGCCCTGGATTTAAAACAGATCGCTGTGAGAGGGCTTAAGGGGCATGAACCAAGAAAGGCATGAATGACGTCAGAGTTGTTGATGGGAAAAAGACCTGGTTTTAAGAGAGCCGCCCTCGCAAGTCCAAGCGCACCCCCTGAATTCTAATCTCCATCCAGGCACTGGGGTTGCGCTTAGCGTGTCCATGCTGCTGACATCGTTGTGGACAAGCCTTGACTTGCAATGTGCGTATATCAATGCAACTTGAACAGCAGGAACATCCTTCGTGCTAGAACGCCAGCAATGGCCCCCACGCAAGCACTGGTTCCACTGTGACATGACATGGATGTCAGGCATAATTTACTGTATGGGAAAAAGAAATACCTCTGTGAGTATTGGGTTCTCATCCACGCAACACGATGCAAAATAGTAGTTTCCATGTCTTTTCCATTATCCCAATATTCGCCCAGTGTTCCCATATAATCCCTATATCATCCGCTCCAGCCAAGCCGAAAGACCACTTGGACACATGCTCCAGCGCAGTCCTTGGTCAGTGTCCGGGTCACAAAAACAACGTATTTTGCATACTAAATAAGGGTTTCCCAAAATTAGGGATACCATTTTGGGGGTCCCAATAATACGGACGATAATATTTTGGGGCCTAGATTGAGGTCCCCGTATTTAGGGAAACTACTAAACGGGTTCGTAGCAGAAGCGAGAGTTGAACATCTTTCCAGCAAATGTCCAGGCGACGGATGCGCAACAAGGTCTGATGCGAAGGCAAACTCACCGAAAGAGCCAACTTTGCTGTTAACATGGAAGATGGTGTCGCCAAAGCATTTCCGCGAGAGGCTCATCTTTATGCAATGCTTGGCTGATGGCTGACACGCATGATCGCCGGTGCAGTCGCAACCTTGGCTCGTTTAACATCAAAATCCAAAGCCATCCGAGCAGCTGTGAGACAATCAAGTGCCTAGCATGCTATATTACCCCTATATAGCGCTATAAATTATAGTAGTTTCCATTTTCTTCCCCACTATCCCTATATAACCCTAGATGTGTTTCAACCCTAGTTCTGGCTGAAGTGCCTGCTCCGTCGCATTCCTTCACCTTGCCCTTCGCGGCTTTCTCATGAGGTGAAGCAACCGAGGCAGGCTTTGCAGCCACACCAACCACCACGTAGGCCAGCAGGAACACCACAGGCAAGGGAGCCATGTTTGTCGCAGGGCTTTCAACAGCAAAAGAACTGTAAAGTGGTGCTTGTCCCTAGCCATTGATTCAGTGAAACCTGTGATGCTGGTTTTTTTGGAAGTTGAAGCATTTGCAATGGGATCTTGAGATTCAGAAGCTCCCTGAATCACATTATGCATGATTCCAAGTTGATCTTTGTTGTTCCTAGAAGGCCTCGCCGGAATCTACTTTCCTGTCCTATAGCAAAATCGTTGTTCGATGGTTCCCTGGGGTTAAACTAGTATCACCAGCAGCGACAAGGAATGTAACTGGATGGCAGGGCTCAAGGCTAAATAATCATGAGAGTTGTTCTCAAATTTATGGACCCCTTTTGGTTGTAGGCTATATTACGGGACCTAATATTTAGGGGTACCAAAATGGGACCCTAATTTTGGGAACTACCCATGAGTTTTCAAAGCGGATAGCGTATCACTTGTTACTATGAGAAGGTCTCAGGGCTGAGGTTGAGGCGAACAGGGCTGCCCCCGCAATCCCCAGAGACCAACCCTGGTAACACAGAATAGCACAGATACATAATCCCCTAGAATCCCAGTCAGTCCCCATCTAACCCGGAAATGATTCGAGGCACTCTGCTTTCAGATTCCCAAAGCTCAGGAAGGGGTTCTTAGACCCTACACCCGAAACTTATCTCTGGTTAGCTAGGAATGGAGGAATGAATCCTTATAGTAGTCCCTATATAACCCACTAGAAAAGTTTCCATTTTCTTTCTACCCTAAACCCATGAACCCTAAACCCTAAACCCCTAAACCCTAAACCCCTAAACCCTAAATCCCTAAACCCTAAGCCCCTAAACCCTAGCCAAAGGCCAGAAAAAGGCTCACAGAGCAGTACTGCTGCACGCATTTTGTTACCGCAGCCCCCGCATCCTCTCGGCAATGGAGCCGTCCATGCCGAGCTGCCAGTGCTAGGGTTTAGTAAAGGGTTTGGGGCTTAGAGGTTTAGGGGTTTAGGGGTTTGGGGGTTTAGGGGGTTTAGGGGGTTTAGGGGTTGGTGTTTGGCGTTCGGGGTTTGGGGGGTAAGGGGTTCAAAGTGAACTTTGGAGCCCCAACCTATGCGGCCGGTTGTCTACTGGCCTTATGCTGTTTTTGGCTTCGGAGCTTGGGGGCGTAGGGCTTAGACTTAGATTGCTCAGCTTTGGATACAAGTTTTCTGGTTTGTGGGCCTGAGGCTCTAGACGCAGCCTAAGCCTTGCACACGAGAAGCAGACCTTGGCAGCATGTCTAACCTGGATCTTCATACAAGCGCCTGCTTTGACCTGAAAATTGTTCATGCTGCACCCGTGGAGCCCTGTGGACCCTAGTCTACACTGACGACGTGGATGTCAAAGCTAGGCCTTTATGGACAGAAAAGACAGTCATACCTCGCCCCCTGTAGCTGTGATAGATAGGGAGATGCATTCTCATGGCCTGGAAGCAATCCCTTTGCTACACGGACCTTCTTTGGATGCTCTGTATGGGTACTCAACCCAGATGCGAATGCTTGCGTGTTAGTTGCGACTGCAGAAGGCCTCTTCAACCAGCATGTCCACGTTGTCTGCAACCTGCGGGTCTCCAATTCTAAGCCCTGAATTAACATCGCTTCTGAGTAGATGGAAAGTTCGGGGGAAGCTTGCATGCAGACTGAGGCAGGCTTCAGATGACAGTCTAGGATTTGAGCCTGTAAGGGGTAATATCCCCTTGGCGTGCTATGTGGGGGTGTCTGAAGATCGACCTCGTATGCTAAGGCGCCTGTAATGTAATCCTCACATCTCCCAGGATCCCTACTGACAAAACTAGTTTGAGATCAGAAGCAAGTAGCTTACACCATCAGCCCCGGCTTGCCTCTGGTGAGCAGGGAAAGGAGGTTTGGGGTTTAGAGTAGGGTTCAGGGTTTAGAGCAGGATTTTGGGTTTGAAGTTTGGGAATCGTTTTACGGACTGGCATAGGGGTCTAAAAAGGTTACAAGGCTCCATTTCTTCATTCTACTGGATGGCGGAACTCTTCCACCACCCTACATAATCCCAATAGTGGTGCTAAGAATACCTTGGAGATACTGGGTGGTGCAATGTTTCCTCCATCAAGAATCAGGCAGGGTAAGGCTGGTCTATTGAAAAGCTGCGGCTCACTGCATCCTCCGCTCAACGTGCGTCGCTGCTATTGGGAGCATGGCTGCATCTTTCCCCCATTATACATGCCAAGCTCCGATAACACAAGCTCCAAAATCTGAAGCTTCGCACTCATATACCCATAAACTCTTCAAAGCCCAAAGCCCTGAAAGCCCACCACAACCTTGTAGCCCTCTAAGCCACACGACCCTGAACCCCGTGATCCCTAAGCCCTAAACCCTGAACCTAGCCTCTTTCACGGAAACGGCGCCCATCTCCTCCGCACAACGGGCGATCTCGGCTGCCTCTGCAGGTGAAGTGGCGATAAGGATCGAGGGTGAGACTTCTGTAGTCTTTACGGAGGCGGTTGCAATAATCAACCAGGGAGCGCGGGGAGAGCTAAGTAGTACAGGTCTTAATAGTACAAGTAGCAGGCATCCATTAAAACCGGGATATTCTCGGGCGCGTTGTTTTTTGTCGCCCCTGGATTATTGCCGATTGAACTTGTTTGTAGGTTTTCGGGTTCTGAACGTGTTTTAAAGGGCAAGTAACCTTCCAGACTTTTCTGGTCTGTCGGGAATATTCTGTCACCCCCTGTGTTAGTGGTAGGTTAACATTCGGGAGTTTGAATCCAGCATTAAGGCTTTGGGGTTCATCAAACTTTCATGGTTAAGGGTCGCAGCGCGCAGGGATTCAGCTGTTTGGGGCTTGGGGATTCGGCAGGCAGGGTATGGGCTGTCTGTCTTTAGATGTTACAGCTATGTGGGCTTGGGCCTAAAAGGCTTCAGATGGGGTTGAGCTCTCCAGGCTCGAGGTCAGGCGTTCAGGAATTAGGAACTTGTTGTTGAGGGATGGACCTGTGGATTCTATGCAGCATAACATGATGAGGGCAACCGCACTGACGGCAGAATGGCACGGGCACCACAGTTGCTGAGTGCCTCAAGCCTCGCGGTACCGTTTTAAGGTTCATGCACTTTGTATACGTGGCGATTCAAAACATGAGGTCCACATGAAACATCGGACGGAGGGGATCATGCTTTGAAGGTTTGGTCTCGGGGTTAATCTGTTCGTCATGACCGTCACTTGTCCCCCCAAATGACTCAATCCCAAACCCGAGGTTCCGACCCCAAAGAGGATGGCCGTCCTGTTGACATCATAATGTCTCGATAGCAAGGGAAGTACAACGGCTTTCATATCCTATACAGTTCTGGGAGGCACTTGGAAAGACCAACCATCACGCCCCCAAATGAAAGAATTCCGGGAACAAACGCTCTTATCAGGGGCCGCAGGAGTTTCAGAAACCCTCCCGACACCTGAATGCCTACTTCCTACACCCAGATCTCCGAACCCTAGTGCCTGAACTCTCAATCCGCTTACAGGCGTACCCCCTATCCTTCCTTTACACTTCTTGGTTGTCAGCATGGATGCTACTAGTCGCCTCTTTATAGTCCCGTCAGAGCACAAAAATTTCCACTGTCTCTTTCATTCCCTCAGCACTAAGCCCTAATCCCTAAACCCTAATCCCTAAACCGCGTTCAAGCCCAAAAGCCCACAGGACAAGCCGCAGCCTCACGTTCCAGGCCCACGCTGCTCAAGGCCTGGCTACATCTTAGGTGACTCCCCCACCCTGTAGTAGTGCCTACAACGGATAAGATAAGGGTAACTATATCAGGGTCTTCGTGTGTTCCTGGGACACGGGTTTCTAGCTATGTTTGTGGGGGGCAGGGTTCCGCAGAATTTTGCGTCGTGATATACGGAGCGGAAGGACCACAACTGTGAATCCGGCCTAGGACCAGCCGGCCTGCAAAACAACCAAAGCTTCAAGAGTCCCATACGGTCGCACCAGATTTGTAGGCGTGCGCAAGATTGGCCTACATCAACCAACCCAAGCAATTTGATCGATGCCTGTCCCCTTCCTTATCTCCGTGCCCGCTCCGTAGGAAGACCAAGATGCTCCAAATCCTGGTGCCCAGTGTAGGGTGAGAATCTGAGGATGCCACTTTAAAAAAACAAACTAAAGCGACGTAAGTTCTGCGTGCAGGATTCTGCGTTGCAGAGTTAGGATAACCGTTTGTACGGAGACGAGTGTTAATCGTCACTTCTCAGACACCATCAGCGTATCATGCCAAACAACTATGCCAGGGTCCCCTTACGTACCTCAGGGCCATCAGACCCTTACTAGCTTGACACCGACACCTAAACCCAAACCGCACCAAAAGCTCTACACCTGAACACCTCGACCCTAAGCCCGTTAACACAATAACCCTCAACCTACATATCGGAGAACTCCCCCCTGTCATGCCTGGAAGAGACCTGGAATGGCTTCCGGCCCTGCCGAGATCTGCTGGGAGGTTGTCAAACTGGAGACCCCTTAGGTAGTCTAGGACTTTGAGAGACTGTGAAGGGAAGGGAGAAGTACCTCTTAGGGATATGAGGGAATGACTTCGAGAAACAGCTCCAGTACTTGGAGATTCATGATTAGGGCTGTGCATTGAGATGGGTCACTTGGGTTAGATGTTCGAGGGGTGGCTTCCACCAAATGCAACGCAAGGTAGGGGTCAGGCTTGGCGAGCTTGTTGGGAGCTGGGTTGCTGCTAAGAAACTTCAATCAAGTTACCACATTATCCCCCTATATTGGAGAATCACATGGAAAAGAAAATAGAAAATGAAATGGCAGCTGGGGGAATATGCATCCAAGTTGTAGTTAGCCCCTTGGGGGCCTGATGTTTGCTCCTAGCAGGACTTTGAATTCACCAGCATCTCGCTCAGCGCTTGCGCGCTAAGGCCTTCTAGGACGTAGCAAGTGGAAAGCCTTGCTGCTGCAATGGACGTGTTCCCCCCCATGGAACGTCTTTTGCGAATTATAACGGCCCCCTCGTCGCGCGCGCACTCTGAAAGGGCTTGAAAGGACTGATTGACATTGGCAGTGCTGGCACGTGCACAAATGTCACAAAATGGCAAAGCTGATCCAAAGATGTGAGAAGTGCTTTGGTGCCAACCGAGGAATATTACCCTCCTCACAGCAGCACATGCAGAGGGGTAAGAAAATGCGAGCCCGATCCACCTCTTCAAATCTTTCCGTCTCGGTACAGTTACCACTCGAGCCAAACCTTGAAATGAGTAGCTTGACAGGCATAAATATCTCAAAATGATGGTCAACTAGGTGACACTGATAACAGAAAGAAGGCGCTTGTTCTATGAACTGGCCAAGTTCTGACTTCAGCTTTCAGGCTTTCAGGCACCACCCAGTATGCTAGCTTGAAAATTCCGGGGCCTTCCATAACATGTCCCAGAGTTGGGCAACGCTGGGTATCTCCTAAAGCCCACGCTCGTGTACTCCATGATAGCTGCTAGAAAGCACGGTCGAATAGGACCTGCTTATAGCTGGAACCCTTTTGGCCGCAAAACCCCAGCCCCCTACACATCGAACCCTACACCCTTAACCCCTGAACCCTAAGCTACGAAAAGCCCTTACTTCTAAACCCCTGAACCATAGAACCTTCGACAAACCACACTCCTACCCCTAGAACCCTAGAACACTAAACCCTTAAACCGGCGAGAGCCTGGGTCCGCTCCCCAGGACACATCCTGGCGGGCTGGAAGTTGAGGGGGCGTGTTTAGGGTTTAGGGTGTAGGGTTTAGGGTGTAGGGTTTAGGGTGTAGGGTTTAGGGTTTAGGGTGTAGGGTTGGGGGTTCACGGTTTAGGGTTTAGGGTTCTTGGAGGTTGAGTGTAATTGCAACTCAATAAGGGGATCATTGGGGTTCTAAAAGAGGTCGATGTGGGGTTATGTATTGAGGACATGGCCGCAACACTAAGAACAAGATGGAAAGAGCAGGGGTTCCTAATTACGTTTTAAACCTGAAGGTTCGGGGGTTTTGCGGTTCAGGGTTTTTGGCCTCGGGCTTTATGGTGTGGGATGTCGCGTTTTGCGCTTGGGGGCTGAAGGTCTGGGCAACGGGGTTCGGTCAGCCCTCGAAGTTCCCAGTCCTACGGCTTCTTTTGCAAGAATGCTGCATTCTGAACCTATAGCGGGTTATATACAGGAGTATCTAGAGGTTATTGAGGGGGATACTAGGAGCTTAGTGCCCCTGAACTCTATCTACCACAACCTTTGGCCTTCGTCCCAAACCCCAAGTTCCAGGTGCTTACTGCCGGTGCTAAGGCCATAGCCTTGATAGGGTTTCTTGTTACTGGGGGCTTTGTAGGGAATAAGGAAATATAGTAAATGTGGCTTTACAAGGTTTTACAGGAATTCGATTATTCGCTCACAGTCAGTAAGTGCCACGTGTGAGCCTAAAAAACTGCACACGATGCTCAATAATCCTTACAGGGTTATGATACTTCAAAAGAATACGAAGAAATTCCCTCGCTGAATCACGCCAACGCTTTCACGATTACTTAAGTACAGCATCGAGTAACGCACTCTTCTGCAAACTTTGAATCGCCCTAAACCCAAAGCTGCAAAGACCAACACCCCAAGCCCTCTTCGAAGTTCCGTGTCAAGGGGCTACTAAGGCTCCTCCCTTCACATGGGCCCCTACAAATAAAAGGCCTCATTGGGGATTGTTGGGGATTGATTCTTAGGGTTGTTGCGTCTTACTCGGTCTTATTAGTGCGAACTGGTTTGGAATGGTACAACGTTGCGAACTGCCATGGGGCATATTTTTTTTGACCCCCAACGTCTTTTTTTCAACCCCTCGTCCCTTGGTTGACCCCTAAATATCTTTACTTTGACCCCTGAACTCCTTCTAAACGACCCTCTCTGTCTTTTTATACACCCTCTCTATCTTTTTTGCTACCCCTCTTATTGCCCTCTACTTCGACTATTGTTATTATTACTACTACTACCACTACTACTACTACTACTACTACTACTATTACTACTACTACTACTACTCCTGCTGCTACTACTACTACTACTACCACCATTACTACTACTTCTACCCTAACTGTCAAGCTCGAAACCCAGCAACCGAACCCCACACCCCACAACCCTGAACCTTAAGACCCCCAACACTCAAGTCCAGGATTAACACCCACATTGCCAACGCCCCATGCATTGGCTTCAAGGGAGGACACTTCAACCCTACTAGAAGATGATGATGGTATTCCCCGCCGCAAAATTCTCACCCAAGTACAATCACATGACAACGAGAGGGTTGTTGTTGTAAGGCTTGTTGGGGTCATTGAGACGATCTTAAAAGGTCAAGCAAGCCCTGAAACACGCCTCTACGAAATTCGAAGTTATCCACAACCTGTCAGTGAAGTTTAGTCCGCCGCTGCCGAGCTATTATTGCAATCTCCTCGCCTCGCAACTAAAATAGTAGTTGTTGCTAGCAACCGACTGAAGCCAGATGGAGGCTGCAACACCACTGAACTCGAGCGGCTCTGAGGACGCAGAAACGCTGGCACCGTAGTATTCTTCCAAAGACATTGCCAACTCCGTACAGTCTGTTGCATCGCTGGCCTTCGTAGACAATACCTCTAAGACCAGCGACCGTTCATAGTTCAGGACGACTGCTGCACGCAATTTGTTTGCAGGCACGTTTCCTTACAGTCCCACGCCGGAACCCTTGACATAGAGCTGACATCGTCGCTCCTCTACACAGCTCTCCAGGCCATTCGAACTCTGGTAGCCAAGCGCCTCGCAGACCTTGTGGACACAATCCGCGCTGGCCCTGCAAAAGAACTTGCGGCAAACTGCGCAGCCTCTCTGCACGATCCCTTGACGCGTGCGTCGTGTCTGCCTCCAAGGAAGGACGCACTCTTCAACCTTGCTTGCTACAATGGGAAAATGTTTTTGCAGAATGTCCCAAAACAACTTTGCTTCCTGAGGCGCATCCTCGTCACGGCAGGCTGGCACAGCAAATTCTCCCCACTCCCCACCACGCGGCACGAACTGCCGCCACATCGCTGTCCTGCAGCCGCTGCACCAGAGCCTCTTTCAGTGCTGTCACCGCCGCTGCTCGCGCGTTCACAAGCTCTAGCTGAAGCTGCGCATTAGCAGACCCGATAAGGCTGCGTGCATCGCGCAGGCGCCATCTCCCCTTCTGTTTTGACTGCGACAAGTTTGCCGAAGCCACGCAGAGGCATGCAACGGAAGCCCTTCCATCCAGCGTATTGCGCCTTCTTATCCGACGAAACCATCTGACTGGGCGCACATGACAACCTTTTCAATCGGCAGTTGTCTGCTAAGGGCAGACCGTGCGCCGCCTCTTCTCGTCCCAATCAACGCTGAACGCAGAGCATGCCCTCCGTCTTTGCGGTCTCCTTCATTGAACAAGCTGCGCACTCGTGCATCAGTGAGATTGACAGGCCGCCCACCTGGCCCAGATGCCCCTCTCAGCCTGTCAGCAACTGCCGTCCTCTGAGGCCCATGCATTCCCGAAACTCTGCCCAATGCCCGATATCATCTTGCGCCGGGCAAAGCTCCCAAGGCTGCCAGACTGCACTCGGCCATGCGCGAATCGAAGGCGCCGCAGATCCACCTTACCACCCTGGAAACACATAGGACGGAATGCACTCCATCCCACACCAGAACATATGTGCCACGTTGGAGCATTCGAGACAGAGGCCATTCCGCCGGCAAGTAGCGCGTGTGATCTTGGGCTGCATTGAACTCTGGCACGGTCTGCAGTCTGCAGCTGCTGACGCGGTGTCCGTCTTGTAATTCCTGCGCGAGACAAGCTATCCTTCAAGGAGGACCTCGGCCACACGTACTCGTAAAGGAGCATCCCCTCTTCGGCAGATGGCTGCACCTCAGCCGCAACAAGCAAGCGCTGCCCGCATGTACAGTCACGGCCTTAATAAAAGCTGCGGGCATGCATCACTAACTGCACGTAACGAGAGTAGCCTAGTGCGAATAGTGAGCGGGAGTCCGTGAAACAAGTTCAGGAAAACCCCAATTCAAGGCCAGCGCAGAAGTTAAAGCGAAACCATCTCGCTGCTTCCTCTGAAGTCAACAGCCGCGGTGTCACGATAATCCATGTATCTGACAGCAAGGCCAAGAACTGTGCGTTGCTGCCACACAAGAGTCGAAAGCCACGTGAGGTCAAGATTGTGTACATCCACACGCTGACCCTCTGGTGAGACATCCCCTGCCTCTGACCAAGTTGGTGTTCTGGCCACTGGCAGGTCCGCACCAGACCACCCACGTTCTCAACAGAACTTCCATCCTCTAGCCTGCAGGTTTGCCAGGGGCACTGAGCGCCCTTTGTGAGACCGACAGGTCTCGTGGAGACGAACCTCCCCATCATGGAACACTTGAACGTTAACGACATGTTGCATTGTATACGCAACGTACTTTCCAGGCTGCCAATCACCCATCTCGACCACTGCCAAACGCAACCTGCCAATCAGTCCAGCACTAAATTCTCTTGCTACAACAAGGCTACTTGCAAAAAGACGGCTTGACTTTTGGCACTGCTCCAAAGGGGTGAGCATTGGCAGCAGCCGGCCTCCACGGTGCAAGCAGTCGATTTCCGTCTGCCAAGGCAAAGTACGGACCAGGACCTGTGTAAGGAACTTTCACGCCCAGACTGCGAATGGCATCGACCAGGCAACAGTTCTCAAAGCGGCTGGACGGCGAAGGTGAGAGCCTGCACCGCCTTGGTGAGCGCAGTTGTATCAGGTGAATCAAAATCAAAGTCCGAACATTGATCCAGGAAACCCTTTGAAGGCTTTGACATTCTGCGCGCGGGACAGACCCCAACGACGATGAGTGCCTCGGCTTGCAGCAACGTTGCGCAACTGTCAATAATGGCATCCAGCAAACATATTCTTGGTTTTTCTGCATGCATCAACGCCACACCAATCCATGGGGTAGTACAGTTTTTGCTGAAGCTCTTGCTCCACTGCAAGAATGGCCCCCTCTAACGCAATCTCATCATCGCGGCATTGCGCCCTCAGAGTCGAGGGCTTGGGCAGTCTCGGGAACGCCTACCCGTCAGGATGCAAAACAGGATCTGCCTGTGAGCCCAAAAGCGGCGCCTTCGCACATCTTGCCACCTTGCGCCTTGCAGCGTGCGAGGCTGCGACCCATGGCTCGGCGGCGGGCGCCCGCTTTCCTCAAGCCTGGCAGCTCTGCGTGACTTAAACTTCCCTCTGGTTAACACACTCTTTCAGGCAGCACCTCATCGATGACGACGACTCCTGCCTCGGCAGCAAGTCGACACGCGCACGCGGCTAAGCAAAGAGGTCAGAGTCTGTTGAGGCGCAGGCGGGAGTCATTACTGTGAGTCGACAACGGGCAGCCAAGTAATCATTTCTCAAAGACTCCCACATGCCGGCCTCCGTGGGGCCGCACGTCCCACGCTGCTTCACTGGCTTGCTGCGCAGCATGCCTCGCCGTCATCCTCCATGTCAGCGCAGCGGATTGCTGATGGCATGTTTCAACCTCTCAGCTAAGCTGAGCTGGGGTGAACGAGGATTACGCAGCTACACAATCTACCGCCATGATCAGGAAACGCCATAAGGCCCCGGCTCACCAATACCGAGGTGTCGAACGTGTGTGAGGAAGCTTGAACTTCGAAATCATGGCTGCAGCAGGTCATGTGTCACATACTTCGAGCAGAGTCATCATCGTAAAGGACTGCCAGGTTCGCAACTGCCATCACACAGAAAGCACGCTCGCAGTCTCAGCAAGTAATTTGGGACAAATTCCTCACGTTGAAGACTTGCCAAACCTTGATGTGGATTTTCGCGCTGAGCTTGGCGGAACTAAGGCCCGTGCTGGAGTCAACAATGTTAGAAAGCATCGCTTTGCGAGTAATCCCGCCGGACCGTTTCCCATTTTTTAGACAGTCTTATAGCCAGAGGCTGGGTTCATACAAAATATGCTTCTGTTTTGTCATTACTCGCACCCATTCGCAAGACAAGGCACCCGTACGCGTAAGACTTGCATGGAGACCGCCCTTTGCCTTGCTCTTGAAACTAGATAAATTAAAGGTTGGGGTTGCAGGGTAGCGCTGCTGGGCCCTGCGGTGAGTGCGGCACTTGCGGCAGGGTTACCCAAGTTCGCTGACCGCTGAGTCGAAAAGAGTTCGGCTGCTCGGATGATTTACAATCAAAGTAAGTAGTTCCTTGTCGCCGAGCTTGCACAGGACATTCCCATCTTCCATACACTGCTTGGAGATATTTTCGGGCTTCCACGGAAAAAGCTCGGGCTCCGCAGCAGCCACGCACAGCCCAGCGAACGATGCTAACCTTTCCAGGGATTTTTGCATTCGTGAGCCGTTACGCGCAACGGGCTGTGAGGCACGCCTTGCCGAACAGAGACACGGAGCGGCCATTTGCATTTGCAGCACGCACGTTATTATGGTTTAGGCATGGATGCTCTGTGATCGTAGGCACTTGGAGCACGAACGCGGCTCCCACTGAGAGAAGGGAGGGGGGGCAAGGGGGGGCAATACAAAGACACCAGGGGTCGCCACAAAGACAAACGAGGGTCAGACAAAAAGATATACGATGGCCGCAGGAGCGAAGGGCGGCTGCTGGCTCGGTCTCCCAAGAAGACATGGGGGTCAGAAAAAAGATAGACGGGGGTCGGAAAAAGGATAGAGGCTACAAAGGGGTAGAAGGGGGGCGGCAGCCCCGAGAGCTGCCAGGGGCGGTGAAAAAAAAACAATGGGTGTCAAAAAAAGGGGTCCCCAGTGCCATGACTGAACCCTTGCTGTCCTCGGCAGCCGGCGCATCCCAGCCAACCTGCAGCTTGATCCGGAGCCGTGAAATTTGGTAGCCCTCGACAGGGTATACGACTTTGGGTTTAGGGGTTTTGGACATTTAGAATTTAAAAGCTGAAGGTGTTTAGGTGCTTGAGGCTCTGCAGCAACGAGTTGAGGTTCAGGCTTTTGGTTGCAGGTGTGATTTAAGGTGTGCATCGGATGGATGTCCAAACATCAAGCTGGAAGTGATCCTCGCAAAGAATGCGTCAAGTACCGCATAAGTGACCTGTAAAATGCTTTTTAGAGAGGAATGCTGATGAAAGGTGTGGTGACTACTTAGGTAAGTCCTAAACCGCGAAACCAAACCGTATGCCCATTGGCCATGGAAGCTAAAGGGGCTTTGCAAAGATAACTGTCCCAGCCTTGTAAGGAGCCTATATGAGCCATAGTCTAAACTCCTGAAAGGGGGGTTATATAGGGGATTATATAGGGGACTACTATAGGGCTTATTAAGGGGGCTACTAGGAGTTTAGACTATAGCTCATATGAAGAGTGTCGGGAAGAAGGCATGGCGCAGTGCTCGCGCAGGAGTTCACATTCCCGCGGTCTTGCCCTGCTGTTTGCCGAGCT